CTGGATAATTTCAAATGACCTGTCTTTGAGTTCTTTTTTTTTTTTTTCCTTGATCGAGTCTGCTTTCGGTGCTCTTTGTTGCATATTTTTTTATTCATTCTGTTCTTCAATTCCAGAATTTCATAAGGGTTCTTTCTTATAATTTCTCTCTTTCTAAACTTCTCATTTTACTTGATCATGTTGTCTGTGTTGAACAGATGCTGAACACAGCTGAGTTTTCTTAAAACAATTATTTAAAATTCTTTGTGAGAAGTTTGTAGATCTCCATTTCTTTAGGGTCAGTTACTGGAAAATTATTATATTCCTCTGATAGTATCATGTTCACTTGGTTTTTCTTGTTCCTGAAAGTAAAGACACCTGAAAAAGTAATCACCTCCTCAAGTCTCCACTGACTAGCTTCAGAAAAGAAACACCATCACCAACAGGCCTGACTAGGGATTTCTGAGGCTGTCTCAAAACTTACCTATGGATTTGCCCACTCAATATCTCTTGTTCCCTCCTCAAGAAAAATGCTTAAGATTGTATGTCTTCTCTCAATCACACAAGCCATGGTAGATAATAAAAGGCTACCATTTCTTATGCCTATATCAGTGCCCTGAAATGCTTAAATTTATATACCTTCTTCCTCTTTTTCAGAATCAGGCTGGTTGTCTGTGCAAGCTCACAAGCCATCTGCAGAGACTTTTACTTTCTGTTCAGGAGGACATGTACAAGGCCAGCTGTAGTCAGGGGCAGGAGTGAGGTACATAGTGTTGGGGGTTCCCAAGAGCCAGCTGAAGGGGTCTGCAGGCGAGGTCTCCCAAGCAGCTCATGGGCAGGTTTTCTGATGAAGTCCCCAAAGTAGTTAGTAGAATCCAAGGCCTTTGGTTGAGTTCCACGCCCTGGTTGCTGTGAATCCCCATCTCTCTTCCCTTCTTCCAGCTTCTCCCAGCCACTCAGCAGTGCTAACCACCTCAGTATTCTGGGTGGGGCTAGAAACAAGTGGGCCTCTTTGGCACCACCCCATGGTTGAGTAAGCTGGGTGCTCACTCACTATACTCTCACTTTTTCCTGCAGGAGAATCATGGGCTAAAGGGGTCTCTCTTGGTATTGCGCTGTACCTAGAAGAGTGACATACGTAAATGAAATTGTTTTTCTTACCCTCTTCAATGCATCTATTCTCAAATTTTCTTCTTTAATGGTGTGCTGGAACTTGTCCACTGGACTCCCAGACTCCCTCAAAGGTACTCTCATGCATGTGTGGTTATTAAAATGAGTGCTTCTGTGGGGTTATGATAATCAAAAAGTGATTCTTGCTGGCACCACTCTCAAGAATTGTTTTAGGTGGGAAATAAAAGTCGTTTAGAATCACACTCTGCAGAAACTCTGTAGAGCTACAGAAAATAAGGTACATTACCAAGATCTGTCACAGATTCACAGAACACAGTAATTAAGGTCTGAAAGGCTTCCCAATCAAAGAACAGGAGGAGTTCACTCTGAGTTAACTGTTTAAACAGCATCCCTTGTGAAACAGAATTACCACCGTATGTTTTTAGATTGAACCGATTTAATTTCCTACTGTTTGCTTCTAAGTAGGAAGTAGAGCTTTCATTAGGAATTGCTAATGGTGCCTATTCTGGACTCCCTTAGCCCAGAACAGAAGAAGAGGGAAGGACTAACGTAGTGTGCATGTGATTTAAGCCACAGCCAGAACCTGGTCACAGGGCTAGTTCTGCAACAGGCATAATGAAAAATTAATGAACTCACATGGTATTTATATGTCTGATTTTGATACTAATCATTTGTATGCTCTAAGGAAGATGTTACACTTTTACAGAACCATTAAAATGTGCTTTAAACAAAAATATGTATATAATTCTAAAAGTATGCTTGAGTTTCACATTTCATTTCCCAGCAGATGTTCAGTCAATACATTCATGCAGTGACACCTGTAACTCACATGTGGTAGTTTAACTTAGTTTATTTCCTTTTGCAATAAAACAATCATTTGAACTAAAAAAAAAAAAATAAAAGATGTATATTATTAAGGAAAGATGTTAACAGGTTAATAGATGAAAGCATATAAGCTGAGTGGTGAAGAAACTCAGTAGACAACAGAGGTCTTTTGGAAATCTGTTGGTGACTCCTCAGAGAGAGTCTGAACCCTCTTGGGTGATTCCCAAAATGGACAAGGGAAGAAAGAGAACAGCAAAATGTGACAATGTGTAAAGGACCTCAGGTGACAAGATAAAGTTTCAGGGAAAGCAGTGAATTGGAAGTGTTACTTATTTCTGGAGACAGGCAGACCAAAGTCACCTGTGTGACACAAGGTCGGCCTCTGCAGCATCTCTTTGATTTGTTTCTCCCACTCATTTTCTGCAGCCACTGCCACCCTCCAGATCCTCATTTCCTCACACCTGTGTAGCTACAGTGGCTTAATGGTGTGCTGAACCTGACTAGCAAGGCTGATATTGTCAGCCCCCATTTATGAATGCAAGAACTAAAGCTCAGAAAGATTCACTCACTTGCTCAAGATTGCACATTTTGAAAATGGTGAAACCAAGACCACAGCCTAGGCATTCTGTTTCCAGGTTCGATGCTCTTTGCACCAAAAAGAAAAAAGGATAATCATTTTAAAATCTTTTATTCTTGGACTCCAAATCTTAAGAGTGTCCCGCTTTTTTCCCAAGACGGTGACAACTCTTCTGTTTGACTTTGAAGACCTTCCATTAGTTGGCTCTTGTCTCTCTCTCAATCCTATTTCCAGCCACACTTTTAGCTACACTCCCACCTCTCCATCGGAAGCCTGGTTGACTGCTTTGTGAGCTCACCAAGATCATTCCCACCTCTGTGCCTTTGTTTATGCCATTCCCCCACTTAAAGATCCTTACCTCCTTTCTCCTTCATCCCTCTAGACCCTGTTCAAATCTTATACATTCTGTGATGGCGTTTTCAATGTATACTCTCTCAACCGTCCATATTGACTGTTTCATGGTGGAATATGACTCTTCAATGTATTTTCTTGGATTGTCCTCTAATTGTTACCCTTTGCAACAAAATACAAAGCAAACTGCTACAGGCAGTCATTTGCTTGTTTGTATTTTCTTACCAACTACTTCATTTTATATAGCGACTTTTGAATTATCATTACCCTAACATTAAATATATACTAGGACTTCTGGAAATATTTGATAGCTAAAGAAGTACAGAAGAATCAGAAGTAATAGGAAATATGAAGACTTGGAAATTATAAAATTTGTGGTCAAGATACAAGTTTATTAGGTGTGGTGGAAAATTTAAGTGACAAAATTTTAACACAAACTGGTTAAAAAGAGGCAGAAACAGAGTTGACCAACAGACTGAACCATAGCTTTTTTCTGTTTCCTTTTATCACAGCTCTGGTTTTCTGACACTCCACAAAACAAGGTAAATGACTTATGATTACTAAACAGACTAACCCAGGCTCAGAAATAATCAGTATTATCTGCAAATGATGATCACATATGTGCTCATGCATCCAGAGTTGTAGCTGGAATTTTATGAAATGACACAAAAGATTCTGCCCATCTTCAATTCTCCAAATTTAATGAGTGTCTTTTCAGAACAGAGGACTATAATAAGAACAAGATATCAAGAAGGTCATTACCCTTGCCCTTGGGGAGCTTTAAGAGTGTGTAGTTAGGAAGAAGTACTTATATCCATGCACAATTAAATAGGTCTGTTGCAGAGCAACCTGTGAACAAATGCGGGTCAAAATATCAGTATGTGCATCCCTGTTGAAGTGATGCTGATAAAAAGGAATAAAAAGAATCAGGTGGAAGATTTTCAAAACAGTATCAGTAAAAATGATGAACTTAATTTCATGGGGAGAAAAGGGTAAAATATACTAGCATGTGCAAAGTTATGGACGTAGAAGCAAATGCCTCATCACAGCGTACCTGGTAGAGTATGTTTTATTATCATCATTGTTATTAGTATTCCTATTGGATAATAGGAGATGGCTGAACATCTAAATTAAAATCTCCCAGGTCATACAGTGAGTTACCGGGTCAGCTAAAATAAGTGATATTTTAGGAACAGTTTACATCATGAAACACTGAAACTTTATATTTTTTCAATAAATGAAAATACCCTGGGTAGTTCTTAGACAACAATGAGTAGAAATTAAACTATATTTTTAAAGGGCTTACTTCATAAATATTGCAAAGATGGGGCAAAGAGCTTTCTTATTCCCCTCGTGAAGAAAATCAGGGTATTTTTTTAAAGGAAGAATCATTAACAGTATTTCCTGAAGGAGAATACAGCCTTCCAGCCTGTATCAGAATTCCACATTACTACCAGAATTCTAAGATTAAGGGTGTGTTTTACCCACACCCTAGATTTTTGGGAACACAGGCCCTGCATTATGTAAGGTCTGCTGAGGAGGAGGATAATGTGACTCTTCTCTTTATGCGACAGCCCTCATTCTGGTCATATGTGTGTGTGTGTGTGTGTGTGTGTGTGTGTGTGTGTGTGTGTATGGATGCACTTTTTAAAATGCTCTTTGTCCTTTAGCCAAAATGGCAAATCAGCCTGATTAACACACATATATTTATCTCTACTGCCAGCTCCTATAAATGGAAGCGTTTACCCAAGACAGATAAATCTCTTGTAATAACCAGCATACTTGTTTCAATAATCTGCAGAGCCATAACGAGAATAATTCAGAATAGAAGAGTAGCTGGTTTCAAATACTATTTCATTTTCCTCCCAGCCCACTACTAGAGCTCAGTATACTACTGTATAGTATGGGCTTTTATGAAGGCTTCTATTTCCCACCTGTATTTCTTTTTCTTTTTCCAGCAACAGCCTGCCTTTGCGCCAACTCCTAAATAACCATAAATTTTGTTCTTATAAACCTTAATGAATGCTTGGCCAAGATGCTGTAACTATTGGCTTCTATATTGGAGCATAAATGGAAAGGGGGAAAAAAAGTACACTGTGAAAAACTGGATAAAATGGAAAAAAGATCACAGCAAACCCAAAGTCGCAATTTGCCTTTAATGTGAAGGAGGCCTTGTTTTCACGGTGTGGCAGCTTTCAGGGGTTTTAATCTCAAAGTGGCTGATCAATTTAAGGTAAGTGGCAGGCATTTGGCCTGGTTCCCAGGCTTTGCTTTGCTGCTCTGAGAAAAGAAAGGATTCAGTCAGACACACAGACAACAGGCATCATCAGCGGCTCCCACATTCCAAGCATTTTAACACAGATTAGGTTGGCATGATTCTACTGTTTACTGAAATCTCCTAGGTGTTGCATTTTTCCTTTTCCTTGCTGTGGTTATCCAAGATGGTTTTCTCAGGTCAAGACCTTCATATGCCAAATAGCTTGTATGGCTGTGAAGGGAAAAGAAGAGCAGAGGTCAAGACTTCTGATTAAAATGCTATTTCACTTGCTTACTGCAAAATACGAGACTTCAGACAGCAGGTAATTGAGCACTGAACTTTTTGCCTAAGGCATACATTGAGAGAGGAACTGTTTTACATGCATGCCTGAGGGGGAAAAAACGAAGATAATTTCTTTAACAAGGACAAACTTAATTCAACTAGGAATGCCCAAAGGATTAACAGGGTGATCAGTAGTTATTTTTGCTTCAGATTTTATAAGCATGAGGCTTACAGATATGTTGAACAAGATTACGACCAATATAGTCCATTTTTAAAAAATATTTTTATACCATATAGTCTTTACTTTTTCAAAACAGTAATATTAAATGAGTTCAACTGACCCCTTACCACTGTCTCATGTTCTTAGCAAAAGTTAATTTTTTAAATCCATTTGACCTGTAACCAAGGTTAAATAAAATACACATTCTATCAATTAAGCCAAAAAACAAATTGTTTCTCATATATTTTTGCTGTATCATACTGCATAGAAAATTTGCATTTTAAAATACATTTTCACAGTTTTTAAAGATACTTTGCCTTACTTTAACATAATCAAGAACACCTTCCCATTAGTTATCTTCATGGCAGAGCTTCTCATGTTTTATTTCTCTCTAAGAATTTTATCAAAATAAGAAATTAATATGGGTTTTAAAAAATAATTTTCTAGCTATTGTACTTTTCAAAAGCAAAGTTGAATCATTACATTTACTATACCTAGAAATGCCTTCCTAACATTTCATACATTTATATTGACTTATTTCTTCCAAAACTTATACATTGTTGCACTTGAGTAACTGATATTAAGAATAAGTACTCCTGTTTGTAAGGGTGAGCTTAGAAACTAATGCAACTATATGCAGTTATTTTCACTTCAGTTGTTATATATGCAAGTGTGGCTTTTAAAAAATAATATATGACTTTTCACAGATTAAAGAAAAAAAATGCAGTCAGTCACCCAAAATATTTTTCCTTTGCTTAAGTTTGAGCTGGGTTTCTGTCACTGGTCCCTTAAAAGAGAAAGATTAGTAAGTTTTCTGTTGGCCACAAATAAACTATCTCTGGTTCTAGGAACAGCAAATTCAAATACATACCAAGTCAATTCCATCTTCTATATAAAGAGCTTCATTGCCCACACTGGGGATGTCCAGGCATCCATAAAAGCGTGGCCTGTGAGGTTTTCAGCTTCCAAAGTGGAGTAGGAAGATGCTCAAGACTGGCGAGGAGCTAAAAAGAGAAGCTCTATTTTGGGACTGGTAGTAAAAATTGATGGGCATTTTTCAAAAATGTAAGTCTCCAGCAAGAAAGATAAATAACAGAGAAAAAGAGGTAAACAACTAAAAAATGCATACCATACCTAAGAAACAGGAAGAGGGAACACTAGCTAGAAGCAACATCTCCTTTTTTTTTTTTTTTTTTTTTTTTTTTCAGAGAAAATAGTACATTTATTCTGTTTGCTATGGGCAAAGTTCTAAGATACGCTTTTCATATATACACAAAGATCATAATACATTGTCATTTTGTCACTGGGTCCTCAATGCAGAAAGATAATGTTTGTTTATCTGATTTGCCTACAACCCCTGCCATGTAGCACCTAAATATCCTAAAAATAGGAATTGCGCAAAGCAGAACATGGAGTAGACTTATGCTTCCAATTTCCAATTTGTAGCTGAAAGACAATGCCAGCTGTACACTATAGTTGACATTGGGCAATCTTTCTGTGCATTTGTTTCCTTGTTTGTAAAATGGATTCAGTGAGAATATCTATCTCATAAGACTCTCACAGGGTTGTGATTCAACGGCCTAACACATGTAACCACAGTACTATGATTTGATAATTGTTCCATAAAAATTAGCCATAAATCTTTACTATATCTGTTTGTATTTCATTCTTATTGGGAAGCATATTACACAAGTTTATTTCACAACATTGCTGTCAGATAAGAAATTTGTGGATTCTGTGTGATTATGGATATTAACTAGAGAATCTGTGTGTATTGTTATACATTTCGGAGTGTCTTAGCCCATTCAGACTGCTATAATAAAATACCTTAGGCTGGGTGCTCAAAAATATCAGTAAATAAATTAAATGCAGGAGAAATGGTTTTTAAATGTGACGACAGTACGTAATTTCAGTAGGGTCAGAGAAAACTGGATGCTCATGCTGGAGGCTGACTTACAGACTTACAAGTAATAGCCATTTATTTCTCACAGTCCCAGAGGCTGGAAAATCCAGATCAAGGCACCAGCAAATTCAGTGGCTGGTAAGGAATCTCTGCTTCACAGAGGACACCTTGTTGTTTCATCTTGACATGGCAGTAGGAACAAGGCAGCTCCCTTCACCCTCTTTTGCAAGAGGCACCAATCACATTAAAGAAGACAGAGCCCTCATAACTTTATTCCCAAAGGACTCCCACTTCTTAATACTATCATGTTTGTTGGGGTCTAGGTTCCAATGTATGAATTTGAGAGAGACACCAACATTTAGACCATAACAGGGAGGATGGGACTCTGTGTGTGTGTGTGTGTGTGTGTGTGTGTGTGTGTGCGCGCGCGCGCATGTGTATACATATGCATGCTGGTATAAGTTTACTTCTTGATTTCTCATGGTATTTTGCTCTCAATTATCTCGCTTCCCGCCTCATCTTTCTTCCATGTCCAGTTTGTCATTGACTCCAAAAGAGGTAGTTGAGGTATCTTTAAAAATCAAAGCTGGCCTTGAAATTAGAGCCCCACATTAAATCTGTTATTAGTTCCGTGACACTAAGCAAATCACTTAGTCTCTCAAAGCCTCGGTTTGTCACCTTCAAATCAATGAGAAAACTATGCAGGCTCCTAGCATGACACCTAACCCACAGCAGACACTCAAGAAACTTTGTTGAGTCTGCATCTTCCTTCATGATGTCTCTGAAATCTATGCATTTCTTTTGTTCCCTTTGCCACCCTGGAGCAGGCCTTCATTCCCTCTCATCCAAGGCTCAACCCTCAATTTAGTTTTCTCTGACCCAGTTGAAGTCATGCACTGTCATCAGATTAAAAAATAATCTCTCACTGCATTGCAATGTATTTATTGGTATTTTTGAAGCAAACCAACAAAAATATCAAACTCTGCATATTTTCCTTTCATACTTTTAGGTACATATGTTGTCAATATTGCTATTCTGTAGGCCTATGAAGATCCTTATTGTTTAATTATCCCTAAATAGTCTTTCACTCACTTTCTCTGTGCTGTGTGAGAACTCTCTCTGTTGAAGACTATATACTACTCTAAGTCCTAAAGATAGTAAGATAAATGAGTCCAAAAAATCTTGGCTGTACCATTCACTTGCAATAATAATAAAAAGTACTATTTATTGTACTCTTACAATTAAGATTTTATATGCATTATCTCATATAATCCTCACAACAACCCTATAAAGTATTCTTACTATTTTATGAGAAACGGTGGCTTAGGAATATTAAATACATTTCCTGTTATATAGATAGAAAGTGGTAGAGCACAGATTTGAATCCAGATCAAAGCCTGAATTCTTAAGCTCTCAGCTACTCTGCCTGTGTTATATTCTTAGAGAAATAATAGAAATGGCTCTACCATCAGACTGCCATAGACGTCATAAATAATTTTCATGTCAGTGTTTCAATAAAACTTTATTTACAAAAACAAGAGACTAAACCATGTACGGTATTTGTCAACCCCTTGGATAGATAAATAAGTTTTTTTTTAAGTCCTGTTGATAAAGCAGTCATCAAGCTATAGTTTACTACGAAAAACATTTAGAGTTTTCTAAGAAAGGATTGTTCATTTTTTAAACATTTTGATGAATCATATTAATAAATTCCCCAATATTAAGACATATTTGCTTTCTGTAATAAACTTTTTTCTTACTTTTAATATACGTTCTACACATAGAAGAGAAATTAAGGCCCAGAATATAAGAATTCAGCTCCAGGAGAAAAGGGAGTTACAGTGAAGAAATTCCAACATTCAGCATGCAAATTTTCCTATGAAGCATTTCCTGATTTCTGAAATGAGCACACATAGGGCAAGATGGCAGAAACTAGACAGAAGCTGCTAAGAAGCTAAAAAGCTAAGCAGATATTTAGGCAATCTCATGGTACCAAGGAAACAAAAATTGGAATTCAGGAACTACCAAGTAAAAGAGACACTAGTAAACACTTCAGGCTTTCAATTAAAGCTCTGAATAAGATATAACCTAGGAGTAAGAATAATACAGAAATATAAAAGCCATAGCCAGATTAAAGTGTTCTGCACGTATTCTACCTGCCATCCAGGAAAGAAAATTAAATCTTTTCTGGAAAAGCTTTTATCATTCAGAGACTCTACAATATTTACAATACATTTCTTATATTCAGTTAAAAAAATCCTTAGTAGGAAATGGGGCCAAACAAAAATAAAGAGAAAAAATAGACAATTAAAAATAGAACCATAGGTGATACAGATATTGGAGTTATAAGACACTGACTTTAAAGTAGCTGTAAACTGATATTTTGAAAAAACATAGATGAGAAGATTTTTTTAAAAATCACCAGGGAATTAAAATCCGTTTTTTTTTTTTTTTAAGTATCAAACACTACAATTAAAATTGAAGAAACTACCACTTTTTATGTTTCATTGTAGTATCATAGAAGAATATTCACCATTTTCTGAAAAACACTATTAAAACATTTCCCTTTTCAATTACATATACCTGAGCCCAGATTTTCTTTATGTACTACAATCAAAACAACACACCACAGTGGATTAAAGACAGAAGCAATAAGAGAATCCCACTCTTCCCTTAAGCTGGGCATTTAAAAAAATTGTAAAAACATAAAGCAAGGTTCTTTTTCTCACTTAATATGTTTTTGTTTTAGAAAATACAGCTGTTTTCACTTATTTATATATTTTAACATGTAATGGGTTTATTGTTATTTTTAAGTAATTTAATAAG